TTATAAAATATTTTAAGCTCCTATCTTTCTACATTAACATTTTGTTGAATTACATCTATTCATATGCAAAGCTAATTTTTAAATAAATTCAATTTCTTTTTATTTATTTTTTTAAGCCAATTAGCTTAATTCAAAAAAATCTTCTATATATAGTAAATCATAATATTAATTTCTAGTGATATTGCTAGATATATAGACATTTGATCTCTTACTCTCAAAAAGAATTTAAAACAAATATTAGACAATAGGTTGCATTATCAACATAATTGTGGCTAAACTATAAGGACTTGCAGTATTAAAAGCTTTAATTGATGAGAATGTAAAAATTACAGAATGTGTCATCAAAGCTCGGTTTAATGTAAAACCTGATGAAGAGAATCTACGGATTAATTTAATTTTTACCCTAATGGCAGTGAAAAATAGGCATCATAGATCTAGATGATTAAAATTAAGCCATGCAAAGTCCTACTGATAAGTTGAGTGGTTTCATCATTATTTAAGTATAATAGAGCCATAGGTACCATTAACAATTAAGCGATTAAGTCACTATATGAAAAATGCTTTCTTAAATGTTGTTCATTAAATTCAAAATTAACAAAATAGACATTTGAAATGATTAGACTTAATATTGTGAATATTAGCACTACTGAAGCTAGAATTACTGGAGAAACACTTGAATAGATATAATTCCAACCAATGTAGTAAAGTTAAGGTAAATATAGAAACCATGGAAAATAAAGAAAATAATAATTGACAATCTTTGTTGAGACCTTTGATATTTATAATATATTTTTACTTGTAAAATACTTTTAGAAATGTTATGATTTCTGTTAGTAATTTTTCTGTATATTATGATGATGTAAGGTACAATATTAAAGAAAATAATTGTTGCTCCAATAAGTATGTTTATAGAGTATGAGTCTATAAATAAAGGGGTGATTAAACTAATTCTTGATAAAGTATTAATCAAACGATAGACATATTCTTGATTCTCACTGACTAAAAAGTAGGTTAATTGGAGGTAATAAAAAGTAATTTGAAAACTAGTAAAATACTAATTATTAAGAGATGGTGATAAGTTTGTTTAGATAATTAAACAGATTAAGTCCCCTAAAATTTTCTAATTCATTTTTATTGATATTATTTTATATCAAAAATTGTTTCATTTGATTTTAGTTTATATCAATTAAAAATTTTGATAAATAGAGCTAAATCTAAGAATTTTAGTATGCTTTTTATATATTAATTTGATGTTATCGATAATTAATTATATTTTAGGATTGTTCTATTTTTGTGTTCAGTTCCAAAATTTATAAAAATATGAAATTTAATAATAAAATATAAAACACTTATAGACTATGATGGATGACAATATTGTGCCTTCAAGCATAATCAAATTACTATATGATAAAAGTTAGGATAAGAAACATAAAGGATGTTAATAATTAAGATTATTAGTTCAATCTTATGCAATAAATGGAAAAGAATTGTTAATTAAATAAATAATAGAAACTTTAAAAATAAAATTTACAACTTCATCTTAATTTTACTTAAAAAGATAGGGAATGTATGCAATATAAACAGTGGCAGAAATATTAGTGAAAGAAGTAATTGGAATATTGATAAATAGTCTCCATAATTAGCTGAGAGATGCAGAAAAGATAGGGGATTAAATATTTAAGAAACTATGTTCACTTCTTAATCCTTAATAAGTTTATTTCACAATAACGGCAAAATTATTGGAAATATACTCAGATAATGATGTGTTATTTATTAGTAATACTGTTTAAGCGTTAACTAATTTATTAATTTCAGAAAAAGAATTATAAAATCTTAGAAATATACTTAGAAATCTAAAACATGAAAAATAAAGGTAGAATAATTAAGAAATGGAAGTCAATTAATATATTTTATTAGAAATAGCTCAATTAATTAATGTTCTAGAAACACCAGTGTTCATTTGTAATATCAAA